AAGAGAATAAATGTCTGTGCTGTTAATTTCCAGTATTTCATTTTGTAATGGCGTTTACCTCCAATGTTTAGGAGTTAGGCTTGCTTCCCGGGACTCTTGTTGGGACTTCCCTTATGATGCTTATGCCGGGTGTCTTGGAGTCATGGAAAGTGTGCCAAATGCAGAGTTTAAAGTTGAAAGTAGGTGCCGGTTCCCCTATGTTTTTCTAAAAAAACTATGACTCCTTCTAAAGCTTCACATTTATTTATTTGAAACATTTGTCCCAAAAAAAGATGTAAAAACTTGTGTATTGATGCATTGATAGAGAAAAATAATATGTACAAGCCTAAGATAGGTACACAATGCACAAGATTATGTGGAGCATTTTTTTCTGCGGTATTTGAGGAAGAAGCAATATTCCATTGCATGGTCTTGGTTTGCGGAACATTTACATGCCACATGGCTTTTTCAAAGAATAAGCTATTTATCCCTGGTGTTGGGGAACTATTTTTGTCTGGTGTAGTTTCCTTCATATATTTTACTTCCTTGCCAACGTCTCTATTAATTTTTGTATGTGGTTTGCTCTCCGCGATCATATGTTGGCTATGTTAAGTTAATGCTTTTATTTCTTGAAATTTTAGTGCTTATATTTTCATTGCACATCCAGCGATGATACCTGAGTTTTGGCTCAAGGAATGTGGCAAAGTGCAACTGGCGCTTTACTTGATTACATTGCTCAAAACCATATTGCGGCTCCCTTTTCTTGCTAATCAAGCTGCTTCTGAAAGTAAGTTGCATGTTTCTCCCAATGTAGATTGCCTTTTTTCTGACATGATGTAGATTACCTTTGAGGGTGTACCGTGTAAAGGTGTATACTATTCATCTCAAATTATCCAGGTGTGTCCATTTATGAGTTGATGAAGAAGACATTGCTTTTGATGTCACATGAACAAAGTATGCCTTTTTCTTTCTGCCTTGAGTCAAAACACCCATGTCCTTCCAGATTTTCATGGAAATCGGTTAGAGTTAATCTATGCTTAACCAATAATGTTGGCTATCTAGATCTTTTTTCTTTGTATATTATGTGATACCAAAAATGGTATGTCTGTTTTAATTAGATTATACAGCTATGAGCGCACACCACGCCCTCCGTTTCTAAATATTTGTCTTTTTAGAGATTTCAAATGGACTACCACATACGGATGTATATAGACATATTTTAGAGTGTAGATTCACTCATTTTTCTCCGTATGTAGTCACTTGTTGAAATCTCTAGGAAGACAAATATTTAGGAACAGAGGTAGTATAACACAAAGATCTCAGAACTGTTCAACCAGACTTCTTTTCCTGTCATGAATCTCAACCGTCATTTATGTAAAATTAACATGCCCTTGACATATACATTGTGGTCCGAGTGATTATAGCCAGTTTCACCATTGTTCAGTTTACAACATTATGATATTGCAGATAATTATGGTGATGTTGTCCATAGGATTTCTTGTGCTTCAAATTTTGTTGATCGAAAGCGGAGTAAGGAGCCCATCTTTCATGGAATCATCTACAACGATGCACGACTGGATCGAATTGAAGAGCAAATATATTTTGGCGAGGAAGGACAAATGTTGATTAGGTTTCATTTTAATTAGGCTTCATCTTTGTTGCAGTCAGTTGATTTCAGAAAGTATTACATTCAGATTACTTGAAGATAGACAAAAGCCTGAATTTTTATTAGCTGGTGGTTGAGCCATACAAACGTTGTTCTAATTTCTACAAGGCAAGTCGAGATTGACTTTCAAAACTAAGGATTATGCAGCCATAATCTGACATTAAATTAATTGAATTAGAGAATTGGAGGCTGGAGAAGTCGGTTGCACAGGGCAAAAAAGAAACAGAATTGGCTCATAGTCTGGGGAAATATGATGGGCGAGCAGGTGTGTTGGGCACTCGTCAATGCGAGGCGTCGCTGATCAACATACTAACACCCTGCTTTAGACCTGGCGTATCCAACTAGATGTGCATGCTTAGCAACCTCAAAGAGTCTGTTGGAGACACATTTGTGCATACCGGCGATGGCTCATGCGTCCTTTCACTTAATTAGAATTTTCTTCTTAATGATACGACTGCTGTTAGTTATTTTTGGATTCGAATTTAATTTGTGTGGAGTTCCTTAATGCACAATATGACAGATTAACTTGTTGTTTTAGTTCAGTTCGTAGGCGTAGCTTTCTCATTTGGTATGTGGTATACAATGTACTTTATCAATATGGTGACTTTTTGATAGTTGTGATGTTACCACTTCTGCATTTAGTATGTCGTATATAATCTATCTGTATGATAATGGTTGTCATCTTGATTCTTGGATCCAAATCAAACGACACATGTGACAGCCGTGGCAGCCTCGGCCCGTGGTGGTCGAAAGGGCGCGCAACATGGAGGCATGGAGGTGAGGCAGGAGAGGTCGTGGTCAGACTGGTACTGCACTGAGTGTAGAGGAGTTTGGTGTATACGGTAATTCTTCCTACGTTGTTGTTATTGATTGATGGTGAATCTAAAAGGATGGAGAAGAAAACCCTAAAAATTTGCGTGTGCATGTGAAAGGTTGGGTTTGTGAGCTAGGTGTGCCATTGATGTCAGTGGCGAAGTTGGGTCAGGAAAGAAGAAGAACATGAGTGATTTAACGGTAAATAAGAAATCAATAATGCTGCTTGATGTGCATGATGATGTTCATATGATTGATGTTGAGCCTATACAATATTAACCACACCCGTTGCAACGCACGGGCAAATTGAATCTATTATGCTAACTTTTATGCCATGTTATTATAAGTATTTATGCCATCTTCTTTAGAAAACAGGTTAGTAGAAATTCTCTTTTCTCGCCTTTCTTATTACATGGACTCAACTAACAATGTGGCAATAGGTTCTATCACTCGGGTAAAGAGCGCACACAGCTGGACGTCGTATATTCCTTTAATCTAGGTAACCTACAACTTGGTCAATTCCAATTCCAATTCCAATTTATTTTTGTTATCACTACATTTTTTATATTATTAATTGAAATTATTGCAGGAATATGTCTAGCTATTTTTTTTATGCTCTGGTGGAATGGTAAAGAATTGGTCAAGCCGGTTTGCGCGGTGAGTATTGTCCGTTAGATGTTTTAAGACCTTCGGCGTGAAATTTTCATATTAACTACATATATTGTTTGTGCAGGATGAGTATGAGTTGAGGAAGCAATTTTTTATTATACTTGCTAAAACATCATGGGAATGAAACTAAAGGCAACTTTCATGATATTGATAGTTTGTAATAGATGTTAAGGTCGAACATCGTTACATGGACATGTCGTTAATCTTTTTTTATCAATTTACATTGCAAAAATGAATTTCAATTATTCAATAATTGTGTTTGTGTTATATTATTTGTATGTGTGGTATTCAATATGTAACTCTTGCAAACTATTTCAAGAGCCCGTGGCAACGCACGGGCACTCTATTAGTATACAGTGTATGTCTGTTGTCTCACATGTGAGCTTGCTCGCCTGAAGCGGAGTGGAGCAAGTTCATGGCCGTGGTAGGGACCGGGTCAGGGCAGGCGCTGGCCATACGCAAGCCGAGATCAAGGACGCTGGCCACGGCCATGACGCAAGCCCAGGTCAAGGACGCCGGCCACGGCTAGGATGCACAGGACCTCAAACATGGATAGCACGACCTACACGACACTGTTTGAGGAGAAGCACGACCATGCCGAGCTTGGCGGCGACCGGGATGACCAGGACGTGAACGACGATTATGCAAGCTTGATGACGACGGGACGACTAGGATGGAACGATGTACAGGCGGCCACCTCATGTCGTGCTAGGAAGTGATGCCGGCGGCGATATTGTCGCTGGCCGTGGTCACGAAGAACATGCAGTCGGCGCCCAAAGTAGACGCGGTGCGCAGAACGTGGCAAACACATACGAGAGCTACCTTGATTTCCTCGTCATGGTGGCATAGGTTTCCTCCTGGTTTTCTTCTCACAGGTTGTGGCTGGCCGCTAGAACGCATGAGATGATGTCGTTGGCCAGGGCCAACATGGTGTCACCGGCAGTGGATGCGGAGGACCCGGCAAGCTCGGACGACGGTCAGGGCTGACATGGTCTTCCTAATTCCTATGGGCTTGGTTCCAAGTAGCAAGAATAAGTGGGGAAGAAGTAGAAGGGGTAGGAGCTGTACAAGAGGATTCAGGGGAAGAACAGATGGGAAGAATGGGTTGTTGAAATATATTGCCCGCCTCCCTCCATCAGTTCGGATTTTTGAATGAGTTGGCTGGAGCATGAATTCAATATGGTATCCGAGCCAAGAGATCTTGAGTTTAAGATCCTGCCAACGCAATATTAAATAAAATGATTATGCGGCCTACATCGATCCCAAGTCTAAGGACTAAAATAACCTAGACGTGAGGGGGAGTGTTGAAATATATTGCCCGCCTCCCTCCATCAGTTCGAACTTTTGGATGAGTTGGCTGGAGCATGAATTCGATATGGGTGTCGTGGGAAGGTCAGTGGTGGAGAGAAGACATGTGTGGGTGGGTGGGAGGCTCAGACGCATTAATTAGATTATGGGGACACCCGATGCATCTCAACAACCAGCATCCAACAAGACTATAGTCTGACAATATCAGTACATTTAATATCAGCATAGATACATGAAAGGTTATGAGAGATACATGTCGCACAAATTTGTAATACAGACTGGCTACTATAGAAGATGCGACTCCCGATGCCAGTGAATGAGTTAGATTTCGGTGAACGGAGTCGCCGAGTGCTCCTATGCACTTTCGTACAGTATGTCTCTATTGTGCACAGGGTAGGTGAGATGTGCCGAGAGGCGCGTGCTCCACGTGCGCTGTCTAGCTAGATGCTCCTTTATCTATTTGTATAGGCTCTCACTGAACGAATGCAAGAACATATAGCAGGCATAGTACTGCTGTCCACTCCATACTCCAGACTCCAGACTCTTCTTATCAACATCATCGTCAATGGCGAAGGCGCCTGGTGCCCCGCTCGGGCCCGTCCCTTTCGCGGACATCGAAGCCGACTCGGGCTTGGTCTCCGGCGTGCCGGAGCAGCTCCAGGAGGAGCACGCCGACCCCGACGACCTTGTTTCCGCCCTGCCAAGCGCGCCGAGGCCCAAGGGCCTGTCGAGCCTCCGTCTCTACGACGGCTTCTGGCTGCCGGAGTGGAGGGCCGGTCCATATATATTCAAGGCCCCGGGGCCAGACAACAAAATGGGGCCCTTATGAACAAATAAAAATTCAGAATGCATTCTATTTCGAAAGCAATTCAGTACATAGCATAGATTCATGGTCTAGAGAACTACATTCTAATAGCATGGAAAGAATATAGTTCTACAAAAGACCGCTCTTCTAAGGGGCATAAAGAGACAATCACCTTGCTCTTCTAAGTATGAAAACCTTGTCCAAATTGATAGCAATTGGAAGCGTTTGTGTTATCATGAGATATAATGTTAACGCATGAGAGCTTACATTAGATTCTATTTTCTTCAATTTGTTTGTTACTCGATGTCTTCACCCGAAGAAAACGTCTCCAAAGCTTCCTGAATACGATGATCAGATCTGTGCATCAATATTTATTTCATCCTACTTTGCTTTCCTAATGCATAAAGTAGCAAGACCATTCAATCTTTCCTGTGACATTGATAATCTCAAATAATTTCTCAATAACTTGAACTTTGAGAAACTGCGTTCAGCTGATGCTACAGTGAATGCTACAGCAAATAGAATTCGATAAGCTATTAATATATTTGGAAAAGAGTCTATGTCTCTAACAAACTCGAAAATCTCCATAGCACGCAATGGCACATCAGATTCTGGTATAGTCATTTGTCGTAGTCGTAATTCCGAGAAGAGATCATCTGATTCAACATAATTTTGAGAAACCGTTTCTACAAATTTAGCACAACATTTGCGTAATTAAATATCATTCAATAAAAGTCTTTTGAGCTAAGTAAGAAGCCAAATATACTTCTGAACACTTCAAGTTATTCGAAGAACTGCCGTTTCTAACTTCCTTTTCTATAAAAATATCAATTGAAGCTTTCGCTGAGTTTACCAGTTCATCTCTTAAGTTTTTTTCACTTCCTTTTCTCATTGGTAACCATTTTTAAAAAGATATGTCACCAAACAATTGTAGAAAAACAGTCAATACAGGGAACAAAAGCATCTGAATATGAGCATATGGCTTGATGTCGAATTGTCGATGTAGCTTCCCAGATCTGCAAGGCTGAAACACTCATTCCCCATCCCCCTTCTCATCCCTGGATCCAAAGAAGCTTTGAATTACAGGCCAACAAAAGAGTATGAACTAGGAAGAGAAGAATTGGAGGGAGACGTACCATCTCTGATGCGGTGATGTCTCAAATGTCTACTTGATGGGGAAGGTTGAGGATGCAAAGAGAGATGATTGGAAAAGAGAATAGCACCATCAGTCTTCATTAATGGGTGCAAGGGGGCGGCACCTCGAATTTGAAAGTGCATGGGAGCGGTGGCGCTGTTCTCTGGGACTGGAGAATTTGGGGGAGGAGGCGAAGAGACTGGAGCTCGACGAGATCAATGGAGTGTTGCCGCAGCGGAGCGAACTAGCGATGGTTTCTTTCCGTCCGTGAGTGCTACCTACGTGGTGGGCTTGGGCTTTTTTTTTTTCCTCTTATTTTTCTGGACCTAAAGACAAAAATATCCTAATACATAAACTGTACTACTACCTGAGCTGGGGTCCCTACCTCCCAGGGGCCAGGGCGGTTGCCCCGTTGCCCCGGCCTATGGGCCGGCCCCGAGTGGTCCGTCCCGGCGGCCGTCGCCCTACAGCGCCGCTTCGAGCCCCGCCCGGACGACGTCGTCGTCGCCAGCTTCCCCAAGTGCGGCACCACGTGGGTCAACGCCCTCACGTTCGCCACCATGGCACGGCGCGCCCACCCCGCCGCCGGCGCCGGGCACCCGCTGCTACGCCTCAACCCGCACCAGTGCGTCCCTTTCCTGGAGGCCCTCTTCGGCAGCCGCCGCGGGGAGGCCAGGCTCGCGGCGCTGCCGTCCCCGCGCCTCATGAACACGCACATGCCGCTGGCCATGATGCCCGGCGGGGGCGGGTGCAAGGTCGTGTACGTCTGCAGGGAGCCCAAGGACATGGTCGTCTCGCTGTGGCACTTCCACCGGCGGCTGCATCCGGAGCTGCCGCTAGCCGACGTCTTCGAGGCCGTGTGCGGCGGCGCGGTGGGGTACGGGCCGGTGTGGGACCACATCGCCGGCTACTGGAGCGCCAGCGCGGCCAGGCCGGACGGCGTGCTCTTCCTGCGGTACGAGGAGCTGCTGCGCGACCCCGCCGGGCACGTCCGGGAGCTGGCGCGGTTCGTGGGGCTGCCTTTCTCCGGCGCGGAGGAGGATGCCGGCGTCGTTCACGACATCGTCAACCTCTGCAGCTTCGGGCACCTCAAGACCCTGGAAGCCAACAAGACGGGCCACATGAATGCCGGACTCCCGATCCCGCGTGACGCGCTGTTCAGGAAGGGCGTGGCCGGCGACTGGGTGAACCACATGACGCCGGAGATGGCGCGACGCCTAGACGACATCGTCGCCGACAAGCTCCATGCGGCAGGCCTCACCTTCCTCCACGCCGCGAGTGACTGACTCGACCGAGCACACTTGTTCTGTCGATACTATGAGTGCACTTTCCTACTTCGTCATATTGAAATAATAGTAGAGGGAGTGATCTTTCTAGCGATCCGGGTTTCTACCGGGTACGCTGATATGCATCAATCGATGGCTGTGCATCATATTGAAATAATAGTAGATGGCTGTGCATCAATGATCAATCGATGCAGGAAGCAGGAGACGGGAGGGTTTTCCTGATTTTTTTACAATCTTGCTAAGTACCGGTCGAAGTCTCAGTCGATGATATATCCGTAAGATTTTACACTGAGATCCGCACAAAAAAAATTTAATTTTTTTCTCTCTTGCATATTATGTTACTTGACTGTGAAACTTGGTTAATTCTCAGTCAACTGAGACCTAGTTACACCCTTTTTTAATAAGAAATCCATTTTTTTGTGTGAAATAAATCTTGTATTGCTCAATCAAAGAATATAATCAAGCTCGACAGTGTCCAGAACGTCCTTTGGTCCAGACCCAAGCCATACCATAGTTCGGCCTTGAACTCTACCAAAGTTTGCCAAAGTATGACTAGAAGAGTTACAACTTACAACTACGACAAATATGAATAATACAAGAATTACATTAGGACATGCTAGCTTTAATCTCTCGAATGAGAAAAGCATACTTTAATCTGTTTGTATCTCCGCTTCTCACCATGGTGACTGCCTCCAAACTATCACTTTCAATGTCATCAATTGGCAGGCTACTCCATTGCAAAGCTAAAATGAGGCCCTCTCGAATTGCTAAGATATCACGTTCCAGCACATCATTGCATAAGAAAAGATGCCTGCACGAGCTGAAGATGTTGGCACCAAATGATCTCGAAGCAGCATACCTGTCCCTCCAACACCATCTTGGATAGAACCTTCAGTATTTTATAGTTTAACCCGACATCAATCGGGGGTCTCCAAATGGTGCCAACAGTAAGCATATTATTGCATGCATGAGCTGTGTGAGGAAAACAATACAAATCATTATAGTTTTTAAAGAGGCCAAATAGCTTGAGAGGAATCTGACAGAAACTTCAATTGGAGGTGCATGTTTATAATGAACCAGCTCATTACGTACATACCAGATTCTCCAAAAGAGCATCAGTACTCGCACCTTGTAGGTTCGTCAAACTAGCAGACAAGCTGAATGAACCAATCATCCTTGGACCGTTTGATGGAGGAGACATCCGATAGCGTCCATTTATTCGCCATTGCCCGCCAAAAAACTCTCGCATTTATGCATGTGCAGAAAGCATGATAAATTTACTGAATATAAATATTTAGGATTGCCTAATGACTAATCAAACACCAACATTTGTTTTTCATTTCGGTTTAGGTTGATTTTTTGTCCAATGACTTATTGACACGTGTATCTATTGGTTTGGATCTATTATATCGTTTGTAAAAGAAATTCATTTGATTTCACTTGGGTTTTAGGTCAAATCAAGGAAAAGCATTTTTTATGGGATTTTTTTTGGCCAGTACTGGCCCACCAAAGTTTTTGAAATTTCATTGATTTTTTTCCATGGGTCATATTCCACTTGGTCTCACTACTCAACCCAGCTAGATGGGGGAGGGGACATTCTTGGAGACCAACCTCCACAGCACCCACAGAGCCCTAGCCCCAGTGTGAGTTCTGACAAAGAGAGGGACTCCATTGGGAGGTCGAGAGAACCAAGATATCCACCGAGTTCTGACAGAGAAAGGGACTTCGTCAAGAGACCGAGAGACCCAAGATATTTGCATGATGCGGCATTTCATGGTGAGGATCTCAGAGATCGGCTGAACAAGCTACCTCATGAGAGGACGCCTGGCAGCGGCGTGTTCTTCTTCAACAATGACGCGAAATCTCAAACCGGGGGGCAGCGGATGGAGCACAAGCAACTACAGAAGATCAACCGCACCATCAACGACGACATGAACTCCCTCTCAATCGGGAGCAACGAGTCCTCCGACCAGCCCCACGTGAGTGTGTGTGGACCATACACGACCGATGACCAGAATAAACCTGGGCTGGTAGCTGATACGTCTTCATCGTATCTACTTTTCCAAACACTTTTGCCCTTGTTTTGGACTCTAACTTGCATGATTTGAATGGAACTAACCCGGGTTGACGCTGTTTTCAGCAGAATTGCCATGGTGTTATTTTTGTGCAGAAATAAAAGTTCTCGGAATGACCTGAAAATCAACGGGGAATTCTTTTGGAATATATAAAAAAATACTGGAAGAAGAACCCACGTCAGGGGGGCCTTCACCTGTCCACGAGGGTGGGGGCGCGCCCTACCCCCCTGGGCGTGCCCCCTGCCTCATGGGCCCCCTGACGCTCCACCGACCTCAACCTTGACTCCATATATTCACTTTCGGGGAGAAAAAAAATCAGGGAGAAGGATTCATCGCGTTTTACGATACGGAGCCGCCGTCAAGCCCTAAGCTCTCTCGGGAGGGCTGATCTGGAGTCCGTTCGGGGCTCCGGAGAGGGGAATCCGCCGCCATCATCATCATCAACGTTCCTCCATCACCAATTTCATGATGCTCACCGCCATGCGTGAGTAATTCCATCGTAGGCTTGCTGGACGGTGATGGGTTGGATGAGATTTATCATGTAACCGAGTTAGTTTTGTTAGGGTTTGATCCCTAGTATCCACTATGTTCTGAGATTGATGTTGCTATGACTTTGCTATGCTTAATGCTTGTCACTAGGGCCCGAGTGCCATGATTTCAGATCAGAACCTATTATGTTTTCATCAATATATGAGAGTTATTGATCCTATCTTGCAAGTCTATAGTCACCTATTATGTGTTATGATCCGGCAACCCCGAAGTGACAATAATCGGGACCACTCCCGGTGATGATCGTAGTTTGAGGAGTTCATGTATTCACTATGTGTTAATACTTTGGTCCGGTACTCTACTATAAGGAGGCCTTAATATCCCTTAGTTTCCGCTAGGACCCCGCTGCCACGGGAGGGTAGGACAAAAGATGTCATGCAAGTTCTTTTTCATAATCACGTATGACTATATTCGGAATATATGCCTACATTACATTGATGAATTGGAGCTAGTTCTGTGTCACCCTATGTTATGACTGTTACATGATGAACCGCATCTGGCATAATTCTCCATCACCGATCCATTGCCTACGAGCTTTCCATATATTATTCTTCGCTTATTTACTTCTCCGTTGCTATTGTTATAATCACTATAAAACACCAAAAAATATTATTTTTGCTGTCGTTAGCTTTTACCACCGTTACCACTACTGTCATATTACTTTGCTACTAAACACTTTGCTGCAGATATTAAGTTTCTAGGTGTGGTTGAATTGACAACTCAGCTGCTAATACTTGAGAATATTCTTTGTCTCCCCTTGTGTCGAATCAATAAATTTGGGTTGAATACTCTACCCTCAAAACTGTTGCGATCCCCTATACTTGTGGGTTATCAAGACTATTTTCTGGCACCGTTGCCGGGGAGCATAGCTCTATTCTTTGAGTCACTTAGGATTTATATCTACTTATCATTATGAAGAACTTGAAAGATCCAAGTACCAAGATTTATCCCTCAACTACGAGGGGAGGTAAGGAACTGCCATCTAGCTCTGCACTTGGTTCACCTTATGTTTTGAGTAAGCTTGCGACACCTAAATCCGCTTCTGCTATTAATTCTGATATGCCGCATGCTATTGATGATGCCACTTCTGCTATGCATGATACTTATGATGAAACTACTTCTATGCTTGATACTACTGTGCCACTTGGTGAATTTCTTAATGAACAACTTGCTAGGGCTAGAGAGAATGAAATTATTGAAACTGATAATATTGATGAAAGTGATGATGAAGATTCTCCCACTAGATATGAATTACCTGTTGTGCTTGAGGGCTATGTTATGGATGAAGAAACTTCTAGAGATTTTCTTGCTTGCAATGATAGGAGTGATCTTAAGAAATTATTAGCTAAGCTGAAACAAAAAACTCTGAATGCTAGAATGAAATATGATCCTCCTTATGCTACTTCACCTATCTTTATTACTGATAAGGATTATGAATTCTCTTTTGACCCTGATATAATTACTTTGGTTGAATCTGATCCTTTCTATGGCTATGAATCTGAAACTGTTGTGGCACATCTTACTAAATTAAATGATATAGCCACCATGTTCACTAATGATGAGAAAACTCGCTACTTTTATATCCTTAAGATATTTCCGTTCTCATTAAAGGGTGATGCTAAGATATGGTTTAATTCTCTTGATCATGGTTGTGTGCGTAGCCCTAGAATATGATTTATTACTTCTCTGCTAAATATTTCCTTGCTCATAAGAAACAAGCTGCTTTAAGGGAAATATATAATTTTGTGCAAATTGAAGAAGAGAGTCTCCCACAAGCTTGGGGGGGGGGCTTCTCCAATTACTTAATGCTTTGCCTGATCATCCTCTTAAGAAAAATGAAATACTTGATATCTTTTATAATGGACTAACCGATGCTTCTAGAGACCACCTGGATAGTTGTGTTTTCAGGGAAAGAACACCAGATGAAGCTGAAATTTTATTGAATAATATGTTGACCAATGAAAATAATTGGACACTTCCTGAACCAACTCCTGAGCCAACTCCGATGAAAAGGGGTATTCTATTTCTCAGTCCTGAAGATATGCAAGAGGCAAAGAAATCTATGAAAGAAAAAGGTATTAAAGCTGAAGATGTTAAGAATTTACCTCTTATTGAAGAAATACATGGTCTTAATTTAACGCCTGTTGAAGAAATACATGGTCTTGATAACCCGACACAGGTAGTAAAGGTAAATTCTCTCTATAGATATGATAAAGCTAAAATCCCCCCTACTAAGTTTGCTAGCCAATGCTTAGATGAGTTTGATAACTTTATGGTTAAGCAAGAAGATTTTAATGCTTATGTTGGTAGACAATTGAAACATAATGCTTATATGATTGAACACTTGAGTGATTATATGGCTAATGGTAAAGGTGAACTAAAACTTATTAGTAAAACATGCTTCTATGGTTACCACTCAAGTAGAAGAAGTACTTAAAGCTCAGAATGATTTGCTCAA